CCTGTAGTCTCAAGTATAAACCAGATCAATGTTTCCTGTAGTCTCAAGTATAAACCAGATCAATGATTCCTATAGACTCAAGTATAAACCAGATCAATGTTTCCTGTAGTCTCAAGTATAAACCAGATCAATGTTTCCTGTAGTCTCAAGTATAAACCAGATCAATGTTTCCTGTAGTCTCAAGTATAAACCAGATCAATGTTTCCTGTAGTCTCAAGTATAAACCAGATCAATGTTTCCTATAGACTCAAGTATAAACCAGATCAATGTTTCCTGTAGTCTCAAGTATAAACCAGATCAATGTTTCCTATAGACTCAAGTATAAACCAGATCAATGTTTCCTATAGACAGAAGTAATAGTCAGTCAGGTATTGTGGAGGGTACCGACTGCTCTGGCAAGGTTTCAAAATGAATCCTCCCCTTTTCCTTCATATTTTCGAGAGAAATACACAGAACAAAATCCAGAACGACTATAAACAGAAAAGAATATAATGATGAATAGTGATACTATGAACACCCACGTAGAAAGGGAAGCCTTGATTTTATCTTGATCTAAAGTTTTTTTCTGTTTAACAGACCAGCGTGTAGTTCTTTTTGAAGTTCGGTCTTCTAAGCGATCTACATTTTAACCGAAGGAGAATGTATAGTAAAGTAGCAGATGAAGGATTTTTGGGGATGAAGTAGCAGCAAAACCGGAATTATGGGGTATCCGGTCTATATTAACAATAAGCTATGGATCGGGAAAAGTTCTATTCCCCCTGTGATAGATGATGGGCGTGCCCGTTAAGCGGTTCTGAAGCCTCCATTTCGTATTGCCAACCAACAAGTCGGGATGGGCGAGAGGTTGGTGATTGAGCACTTTGACATAAATAGAATTGAAAAAAAGTATCACCTTTACCTACCCGGCCGAGCATAAAACATCTGCATGTAATATGGGAAACAGGGTTTAATTCATTGGCGTGGCGTTTGTCCTTTCATCTTGTTAACTTATGAGCATGCAGCGGATCCTTTCCCAGTTTTCGGTGCACACCGACGGCAGCAAGAATCTTAATGAAGCCTGGCGTAATCATTGGCCGGTCAGTGGAAAGCTTCGGTGGTGGGTCACGTTGCATCTTTGCACATGATCCCCAAATCGTGCATCATGCATAGCAGCTCAGTATCTCTACATAGTTTCAAAATTTAGTGTCCCAAATTGGTATTTATAAGGGGTATGTCCCCTGAAAGACTTTCTTAAAATTTGATTCATTTATATCATCCTCAGATCAATGTAAACAGTTCCATATTTAAGCGGGCTTCTATTAAAGACAACGTACAAGCTTTGATTTTCTAAAATATATTATCCGACAAAATAACCCCTGTTTGATTCCAGCGTGTGTCAAGATTATCCGTTCGAGCGTTTTTTCACCATCATTAGTCATCTTTGAGTACATGAATTATGACATCAAATTTCGAGAAAAATCTTTATTTTTTTGGTCATCATAGCATTTAGTGTTCGGGACGTTATAAATCATTTTAATCGTATTTAGACCCCACGACGTAGTGTCATGGTTAGTGAACTTGTCTCGCTAGTACAATTTCAGCTGAATAGTGAGCTCGATCCTGATTGGGTGCTCCGTACTTTCGGCCCTGTGCCACATCTAAGCTACGTTAAGAAAATCACCATATTTTAACCGTATTGATGAGGTTGCTTCTTTTATGTGCCCTGACCTTTCAGGACGAGAGGGATCATGGTTCTCCACAGTAACACTTGACTCGTTTCTATCCCCGTTTGTACTCGACGATTTTACCTGTGATTGAAAAAATAAATTGTTCCGAGCCAAAAGCCAATTCACGGCTTTGAAACACTGGTTCTCGTACGATTATTGAAGTTAAGCAACGTCGAGGATCGTCAATACCTAGATGGGTGACAGTTTAGAAACACTCAACATTATTATCATTTCCCTTTCTGCTATATTCTTTTTCAAGGCTTCTCAATTGCAGTATCCTTATTGTTAATTCCACTTGAAGTTGTTTTCTGCTGCCATAGAAGGATATGGCAACACAACTATGAAATTCAAATATAGCTATTGTTCAGGGATCACTGACTTTTAGTGGTAGGATAAACTTTCTGTACAGCAAATGAAATCAAGGTGATAAAGGTTAAAGAGATAGAAATAAAAAGATTCAAAATTGACAATTTTTTTTTCATTTCACTGAAACAGACGTTAAACATTTTATTATCCCTACTTTCTTTCTTTCATTCATTTTGTTTCACTGAAACCAAGTAGCGTCTTAGATATGTATTTTCCGTCTTTCCACGCAATCAAAGTTCATTATTTATAAGTGTTGAGGGGTCCTCCCCTTTTTATACAAATAGACTCACCCAGTATATACATATACTACGGCTACGTGAAGACCCGAGAAAACAAGACCGAAGAGTCGAGTCCAGAGTGACAGAGTAAAAAAGGTTGTAGGTAACCGGAAGAGTGAGGGGTGAGGTAACATCGTTGTAGGAGTCACAGTGAGCGAGCACGTAGACTCAGTAAGAAGTCATACAGCGATACTTCAATACCAAAGACTGTATATATATATATATATGCTACTAACCCGTATTCCTGGAACTACTAACCTGCTTTACCAGTTTGTATTATTACGTTAATGCATTATTTTCATATATTCATTCCTGGCGTTTGTTATTTATTGGTACCGGATTTCAACCCGGAATCCACAACAATAAGGTATTGGTAGGAGATGTTAGATACTTATATCTTCCATTCTTTCTTCGTTTCATTTTATCACTGAAACCAAATAGTGTCTTTTCCCCTCTTTCGACGCGATCAAAACGGAATAGTCCATTATTTATAAGTTATTGGCAGGACGCAATGGTCGTGTGAATTAACGAAGGGAAAAAAGTATAATTATAATAGGGTCCTTATGCAGACAGTTCGTTCCTAGTAAATGATGCAAGTTATTCTAAAGCCTTTCGCAACTGAATCAAGTTTTCAACCTTGTATTTCGAAACAGATTGTTTGGGAGGCATTTTCGCTATTCCAATGAACCTTCAGATTTTTTCCCCCGTCATATTACCCAACGTCTGTTATAACAATGTTTCTCAACCTTTTCACCCTTTTTACAGTATTTACAATATTCGGACAGTTGTCCTCATCTTTATTGTGACATTCACAACGTTTCTGTCGCTGTACGCAAGGCCATCTTCAGGTGATTTTTGTTTGAATTTCGAAATTCAAACAGATATCACCTGAAGAATATTTCAGAAATAACCTGTCAAACGCCGTGTATATGACAATAAAGAAGAGGACAACAGTCCGAGCAATGTAAATAGTGTAAGTAGTTAGAATACTTCATCCCAGAAATACAGACGC